ACAGTTAGTAGCCTGAATCCCTTATACAGTTAGACCCTGCTCGACGTGTTTCTTGTCTGGGTTGTCTTTTGGGATCTTTGTTTTAATTTCCCTTACTATTCTGTAGAGAACCATAATAATATATAATTTTCAGAGGGCTTAAAGGACAACTTACTTGTTGAATTTCAGAATATGGAAGATATACCCCCGAAGGCCTTGCTCTGTTTATGGAATATGTACTTCTATCTACATTTATGTATGTATGTATGTACCTATATATGGGGGTTTCCGAAAATCCTTATTATAAGGACCCCAAAATAAGATACCCTAATTTTCGGAAACTTCTATATATACATATTTGTTTTCCAGCCATGGCGTCTCCAAGCGCGAAGAGACCCCGGCTGGACCTGACGAGAGCGCCGCTTCGCGACATGGGAGTTTTGAAGTTCACGAGTTGGAGTTTAGGGTAGGAGAGTTTTGGGTTTAGGGTTTAGAGATTTTAGGGTTTAGTGTTTAGGGTTTTAGGTTTTAGGAAAGGACGGTTCTAGGATTTAGGTTTAAGCTTCATGGTTTGGGTGTAGGAATGAGGGTTTTACCCAGAGGCTCCATTGAAGTTCCTTGTTGTGGTTTCTATGTAGGTTCCTGTAAGTAATCCCACAAAAGAACTACAATGGAGCTTCGGGGTAGTATATAGGGTTCAAGGTTTGCCATTTGCGGTTTAGGGATGAGGGTTCGAGGATGTAGGGCTTGGGTTTTTGGAATCTAGGCTTCTAGGATTTAGATTAAGGTTTACGGTTTAGGGTTCAGGTTACGAGGGATTTAGAACAACGTGTAGGCTCTTGCAGTTTGCGACTCGGGGTTCTCTCGGATTGAATTGTCGGCCCTAAGGTGGGGCCTGATCAGTATATAGAGATGAGGCCATGACTGAAAACCTTAAACCTCAATGGCATCGAGCATTCAGACCTTAAATAACCGTCACTAAGGTCGATCTTGATTACTAGAGCCTTGCTTAGACCCTGAACGGTATAAGCCTTAATCAACACCTGCAGAGCGGAGGTTCCACCTTAGGCACCATCGTTTAAGCTTTGTAGCTGTCCATACAGGCATTTTGCTTATTTAGTTCGACAGGCGCCGCATGAACGACGAGGAAGCCGCGTTTGCTTTGCTGAGAAGTGTTGGGCAAGAGGGCTGTTCGGGTTTGACGCCGGGTTGAATGACCTAAAGCCTTCATCACAAGAGCCGCATAAAAGGCTTGCATTGGAAGAAGCCTTAAAGGAAACCATCAAAGAAAGAGGGATTACCTATACTATTTGGGGGTTCCTTACTATAATTATCGTACAAGGGGCCCAAAACCCTATTCTAATTATTGAGGCCCTTATGTTGCATGAACCCTACAGGGAGCACAAGCGGCAAGCGCCAGAGAAAACACGCCCCGCCCTCAGCAAAGCAACACTACTTCAGCTCGGCCCCTAGCCCTATGGGTCCATGCTTCCTAGTACATACTTCAGCCTTAACCCTAAATCCCCAAACTTTAACAGCCCTAAATCCGAGAGTAGGAGCGGGGCCCTGAATAAAGCATGACTTAAATACATGCGCGCAGGCAGACCCTCTTTCTCTCTCACGCACATATACCAAACAAATGCGAAACACAACACCAAACATTGGAACAAAACACACAACCCTGGGAGCCCTAAGGCCCCGCGGCACAGGTAACCAGGGCTTGCGGCCCGGAAAATTTGGGACATAGGCCTGGTTACTA